AGAAGGATGGAGAAATGGCAAAAAAGGGATTGCAGTGCAGTGTGTTCACACTCGATGGGTGGGTATTTTCTCCCTCTCTTTCTCTGTCTCTGTCTCTCTCTCTCTGCTGAGAGCACATGCTCTCTAGCAATTGTTAAAAAATATATTAACAGAAACTTCCATCAAGTCCATTGTATGTCATGTTGTTCTAAGTCACTGTTTAAAAGTGAAACCCCTGTGAAAATATAGTACTAATAAATGTTTCTCTTACCTACGCACTTTTCTTGTTAGGAAGTTTGCATCTGAATTTTATGCTTGACTGACAACAGCTGTCATCAGCCCTAGGTTTCCAGCATACTACCATTTTTCTACTGCCTTCACTGCAGATTCCTTTTTTTTTTTTTTTATGATGGCCAATGACACATTTTTCTTTATTGAAACCACTTCAAAATCTTTTTTGAAAATTATATAAATTTTTAAAATTAATTTTCCTCTAGCTATTACTATAGATTTGTCCCCAGTGTCCCCCCAAATCTCTCCCCTAACACTCCTGCACATGCTGTTCACCCAGAACACAATCCCTTTTATTTCCAGCATTCGCTCACTTCTGGAATCCTCTGGCTGAATGAACTACTCATCTGGTCCCTAACAGTCTTGTACAATGCTTGTTTCTTCATGTGTACTGTCTTTTCATGTGCATAATCTTTAGATCCTCAAAGACTGAGTTCCTAATAGACAGAGACTATATCCCCAGCAGCATCAAAACAAGCTCTGCACAATGAATACACAGTAAAGATGTTTTCTTTTATTTTAAGAATTATTTTATTGTTGCTGTTACTCTTTAATTTGACCAGAGAGAGAGAGGGAAAGTGAGAAAGCAAGCCACCAGATCCAGGACTCGAACTGCGGCTAGATATGTGGGAGTTCAATACCTCAACCACCATGTCACCTGGTGGCCCCCAAAAGGTTTCTTTTAACGGAAAAAGTCAGTCAACATTTTTAAAAGCCCATTAGACAAAGCCATATGGGATGTAAGAGGCTGAAAATTAGATTTTCTTTTTATCTTACAGTGGTTTATAATCCCCAAAACAGAAGATTAATATAAATTACCTATACAACCAACAGGGAGTACACATGTATAAATACAAAGAAAGTTGTTGGAATGGCTGCATTGGCAGGACTGGTCTGAGAACATTAGTAATTTTATTTAAAAGGAATTAAGACTTGTAAGGCCATTCATCCACAAATAATGACTTCAAGAAGTACAAAGGCAACTACATTCAAAGAACAGCAAGAACATTTCCACAAGGGCAGTCAAGAACAGCAAACATGAGACACGGAAAGGAGCCTTGGGGATGGCTAGCACGGGGTCTTGGAGGCAACAATGCCGAGTCAGCCTGGGTTTCTTTAAAGGTGACTTACTAAGGTACTCACTCTGGGTGCCAGCCAGTGGTGCGATGGTTAAGATGGCTGGATCCCATATGGCCAACTGCATGGTTCATGTATGGGACTCGGCAGCTTGAGAAAACACACTGGGCACATGTGCATGTGTGCATACATGTGTACCTGAAACCCTGAGAGATCCAAGAAAGAATTGTGGCATGGCCATTTACAGGGGGGGAGGGGTTTCCTGCCATCTCCCCTCCCCCCATGAGTGCCCATACCTTAGAGAAAACTAAAATTTAAAAATAGAAATAAGGGGGACCAGCAGTTAGCGTAATGGCTATGTCACTGGACTCCCAAGCAGTCGACTGTGGTTTGAGTCCCAGACTTGGCGGCTTAAACTCACACCGGGCGCATGTGTGTACATGCCCAAGATCCCGAGAGGAGAATGGAGGAGAAGAGATTGCGGCGTGGCCATCCCCCCTGGGGGGGAGGGGGCGGATTTCTCGCTTTCTGTCTGTCTGTCTCTGTCTTTCTGGTGAACGCACATGCCCTATAGCAGAAACCTCTCCAAAAATAAATAAAATAAATAAATAAATAAATAAATGCTTAGCAAGTGAGTAGCTCAGTAAGTTCTCAGGCAACACCATTTAGAAAAAAATGTATAATAAGGTATGAATTTTCACACCCCCTGCTTTAACGTCATAGTCCTCCAGAGATCCTTGATACTCAGTCGCTATCCTAGAAAATAAATAAAAAGCATAGATGAGCAGTAAATTCCACTAGTAAGTATTTACGTGGTGGTTAGACAATTCAGATCTGTGCTAGGGGCTACAGAAGCCAAGGCCACACCTGCTAAGACAGTGACAGAGACAAGCAGAGGGCAGATGATGGAGGGGGGGTGAGGAACACGCAAAGGGGTGGTGGGCGGGATGAAAGGAAAACAAGCAAAGCAGGTGTTTAAAGTTGGAGATGAAAAATTCTGGTAAAGAATGGTATACTGGGGGCCAAAACAGGGTGTAGGTTAAGGCACTGGCCTCTCACATGGCTCATCATGGTTCAAATCCCGAACCTGCCAGCTTGCTTTCTCACTTTCTCTATCTCCTTCTCTCTCTTTCTCTCTCTCTGGTGAGTACATATGCCCTAATGCAAATTAAAAAAACAATGATAATAATACATTAATTTTTTTTTAAAAGAAAGATTTTTGCTATTGGATACATGCGCTCACTGGACAAAGAGACAAATGAAAAATGACCCCCTCGGAGAGGATGGCCATGCCTCAACCCTTTCTCCTCTATTTTCTTCTTGGGATTTTGGGCATGCTCACTCATGCATCCGGCCTGAGTTTTAAGCTGCCAGGTCAGGAATTCAAACTGGGGTTGACCATGTGGGAGTACAGCAACATAACCATTACACCATCTGCTGGTCCCAATAATAAAAATTTTAAGATAATTCTAAAAAACAAAAAAGATATGCTGAGTACATAAGATGTTAGGGCCAGCAAGTGGTGTGGAGGTTAAGGTGGCTAGATTCCACATGGGCAACTATGTGGTTAGAGTCCAGAACCCTGGAGTTCGAAAAACACAACACACTGGGCGCCTATGCATATCCAAAATCCCAGAGGAGAAGGAACAGCAGTGTAGCCATCCTCAGGGGAGAAGAGGGGGTTGTAATTTCTCACATTCCCTCTCTCCATCTCTGTCTCTCTCCAATAAATGCACTGCCTTATAGAAAAATTAAAATTTTAAAAAAATTTTTTTAAAGATACCATATGGCAGTCTTTAGAACTCAGTACCACACAATGGATAACTCTCATAGATCAAAATAGGGTTCCAGGCCTAACCTACACTGATTCATACTGCTGGTCACTTAAATTGGTATAAGCCATACCAATATAGCACATTAAAATCTTAATTAATTTAGGGACCAGCAGTTGACATAATGGCTATGTCAATGACTCCCATGTAGTCAACAGTGGTTCAAGTCCCAGACCCGGTGGCTTAAACTCACACCGGGCGTGTGTGTGTGCATGCCCAAGATCCCAGGAGACTGGAGGAGAAGGGATTGCAGTGTGGCCATTCCCCCCTCGGGGGGGTGATTCCTCACTTTCTATCTCTCTGTCTCTTTCTGGAGAGCACACACACCCTATAGCAAAAACCTCTCCAAAAAAGAAAAAGTCTTTACTAATTTCTTGATACTAAAATTTTTAAAAAATCATACTTTCAAGAGATTCTATAAACTTAATAAACATTTGCACTTCAGCTGCAGTCTGAAAAAGTGGAAAAAGGAAAATCATCTGCAGAAAGGTGCCAACATCAGAAAGTGGAGAGGCCTATCTGTAGGCCCTGTACTACTGCCTGAATGTGTTTTCTCAACCTCAGATCCTTGCCCTACACACCTCTCTTCCCAGTTTTCAAACACCTGTCTTGTAATTACCCTAAATCAAGCAAGATACCGGAGTAACCAGATATGAATTCCAAGATCCAGGAGCTGAAATGGTCGAATATCATGTGACTGCCCAACTTCAATTTATCTTGTTCTAATGCTTGAGAGCTTGGAGAGCAGAATTTCAATCTCAACTGGGCACTTGGGAGCTGACCTGAGGCAAATCGAACATCCTTTCCTCGGTTTCCACATCTATAAAATGAGGATACTCATAGTACCCCCGAGGGGAGTCTGCAGTCAGAAGTAAATGAGTTAATAGTTTATGACTGGAATATGCTAAGTGCAATCAGTGTAAGTTCTTATTATCCTCATCTTTATTTTAGCATTATATTGGTCATCACCAGCAAATACCCAGGAACACCCAATGCACGTGTTCTCCATGGCAGTGGGTGCGCATGAGTTCATCACCACTGTATCTAGAACAGCACAGATCGGGAAAACACGATGGCTGGGCCCTACCTGTTGCAAGGTCTCTAAGAGATGACTGTCACAAACTGGCCCCGCCAAGCCTGCCATGCAGAGTTCCTACACTCAGGACAGCTCCTGACCACACAGGGAATTCACTTCTTCGGACATGGGATCCCAGCCTAACTTTTGGACCAGTCTGTCACATTGAATTCAAACGTGTGCACGTGAATCTCATCAGTAGTTCATGCAATTAAAAAAAAGTGATTTACTTTGCTTTCTACCCCCGCCTAGCCTGGGATTGCAGAGTTTTACTTTCTTTTCTATTTTCTGGAAAACTGGAGAGGGGGAACCCACACAATGAGACACCCTCTTCCCCATTTCCCAGGCATCTGCAGGGAAGCGGCCTCTGCGCTAAGGCAACAGAACCCCGCACACGTGTTACAGGTGACTGGTCCTTTGCCCGTCCTGGGCACGAGGCTCTGCAAAGAGCCAGGTGCATGCTCCGGACTTGGGAGAAACGGGCATTGCAGTCACCTGGCGGAGAGGTGGAACGGCGGTTCCGGCCAGGTGTGAGGACCGCATCCACTAGAGAACCAGTCGCCTTCGTGCACTCAGCACCCAGTGCACGCACCACACCCCTCCCAGCGCACTTCTGGCGCGCGCTCCCAGCAGCAGACCCCTTCCGGGATGCCCAGAGGGCTGTTCCTGGGGACGCCGGAGCCCGGGGAGCGCGCACACATGCCCCGGCGGTCGCAGGCCCCGCTCGCCTCCGCCCCCGCACTCACCTGGCCGGTGATGCCAGTGATGAGCGCCACCTTCCTGGGCTTGCCAATCTCGCCGTCCCCGGAGCCCCGGGCGCTGGGGCAACATGCCGGCGCGTGTGCCATGTCCCGCGGAGGGCGTGCGGCTGAGGGCAGGGCGGAACGGAGCGGAGGAGCCGAGGGGCGCGGGCGGGAGGCCTG